ACATTATTACTCAGTTCTTGGTATAGAGCTGGCGTGTGACAGCTGCAGTGTCCCACAACGGCTCTAGGTATTGGGAATCATTTATTTTACTATCCCAATTCTTCTTTAAACCATCAAAAATAAGGCCACTTTAGCTCCCTTATTTTGTTCTGATAATGTTTTTAAACCCACATGGTAAAGAACAAAGTTACACATAAATAAAAATTATTGTTCTGGGAAAGCATCAGCTCAATTAAAATCAGCCTAAGAGGCTAAGCAATTCCAAGTCTATACCGTTTTGCCATTTTGCTCATGAAAGCAAAATTCCAGTAAATCAAAATAACTCTGAAGCCAGTTGTGACATGCTAACAACACTCCATTGGTAGAGATGATTATGTAGAATTATCTCCCCATATTGTTTTGATTAGTCTGCACAGAGGTTAATTTTCATGCAGTCTGTTGAATGCAAGGTGGCATCCCCAGCAGTACATGTAGGTTTACTGATATAAAAACTTCTTCTTTGGAGAAATACTTACACAGCTGACCTAAAAAGGATTTTTGTTCCTCAGCAGAACTGGAGTTTCCATTTAAATCACGTCAAGGACTGAAAAACGTAAATTCTAAAAATAGCAAACAATGTCTACATAGGAATGTTAAAGAGTTAAAAATAGCAGAAAAAAATTCTGGTTCTTATTTAAATGTGTCCTTTAACTCATGTAGAAAGCTCTGAGCTCTTTTTAAGTGATCACAATGTAATCTCTAGATAAATCCTCTGACCCTTTCATATAGCCATCCTTAATTATCCCTTAAATCCACACAAATTGATGCTAAGTACCTCATTGTTTCCTTGCTGCATTTATATCCATTTGAAAGCTATTTGCGTCAATTGTACAAAAATGTGTTCTGCCTGCTTACGGTTTTGGTTTGAAATTCAAAGAACTGAATCCTTGATGAAAGAGTTGGAGGAACAAGATGAATCACCGCACATTTCTTTAGTTAATTTCATAAAAATGACCTCTTGCTCTCATTGTAAACAAGAAGGGAAATGCATTGTTTCAGCTGAAAGGCAATTTTTCAATGCGGAGTTACATTTCACATTTATGCTTTGTAAGTGTCAAAGTTGTGAATGTACTTTGCCTGAGGATTTTGATAATTAGCAATATGTGGACCCTATGGTCATATTTATCACATTTCTAGATTGTGCAAGATACTATTCTATGCAATGTAGACATTAAAGTGATATTAAAGTCAAAAAGTTTTTAAGCTATTTTAAATGCTGATTAAATCACTTACAATGGATGCTGTTTTAAAGTTCTAGCTTCCTGCAGAATCAGCTGGTCCTCTGATCACTGGCCCTGATATCCTGTCTTAGGGTGGCTCATTTCCCTTGCAGGGTCCTATGGAGCCATCCTTGTGTGCGCTAGTAAGCTGTTTGTGTCACCACAAACTCTCAGGCATAGCAAAGCAAGCCTTTGTCCTGCTCCTCCCTTCTGCAAGCTGGTAGATGAAGAGTTTAATATAGGGATGTTCAGATACCAGTTTAAATACCAGTGCTGATAATTGGCATTTTCATGAGAACTACCAGGGTTGCAGCTGGGACCTGGCTCTGGCACTCCACCACTGTCCTGAAATCATTAGTCGATATTGTTTTATTGTCACATGACAATAAACAAAAATGTACTGCCACAAAACCCCCACAGTAACAAAGTTTTTTTTATATAGATGGTCACACACTATATTATTATTATTATTATTAATTACATGTAAGATGTTTTCATGCCACAAACACACAGGACTCGTTCACGCTTTTAGTGGTGATTGGTGTTTTTCACCAACTGATCAATAGCAGTCACAGCTAGGGCACATAGAAAACAACTGTTTAAAACCTGGTGATCATGCTATGAAGGTCCTTATTATTGTATTCCCTGTTATGTTGTGACAACTGTCTCCCACTTGTACTCCTGTCACCACCTCTTTTGTCACCATCCCACAGGCACCTCTAGTGCAGCTGTGCCAGCACATTTAGGGCCGATTCACACTAGCTCCGGTGTGTTCCAGCACGATTTGCTGCTGGAACGTACTGGAGCGCATCCCAGCCGGCTTCCTGCATTAAGGGGCAGGAGAGGGCATGGCGGTGCATTGAAGTCAATTGAAGTCAATGGCACTGCAGCCACGCCCCCCGTCCGCAGTGTGATTGCCAGCACCAGAACGCCTGGCACATCAGTGCCTTAGTTCTGGTGCATTGTGCTCTGAAAAAATAGTGCTTGCAGTATTTTTTCAGATCGCACAGGACCGGAATGCAGGCACTGATGTGCCACGCTTTCTGGCGAGGGCGATCGCACTCCCAGCATTGACTTCAATGCAGCGCCACGCCCCCTTCCGCAGGAAGCCGGCCGTGATGCGCTCCAGTGCGTTCCAGCAGTGAATCGCGCTGGTATGCACCGGAGCTAGTGTAAACCGCTCCTTACACAGGTATAGTCCACTGTTGTCTTCATCTGAAAACCCACCCTGAGAAATGCCATAAAGCCATCACTGGAATGGATGAATGCAGATAGAAGTAGCTGCAAAGAGAATGCGGGAGATCAGTAGAACCAAGATGCACCAAAGTGAAGCTGTTCTTTGCCCTAATTCCTTCCTCCTCTTTGTTCTGTTGGGCTAACAGGAAATACTTTTGTTTTATTTGCTTCTGGCAGCTCAACAGAGCAATAGATAAAAATCCGGAACCTAAGCAGAGTATGAGATCCATGTGACAACATTTACTAAAAACTGCAATATAAATGATTGGTGGACTGGTCCGATGACTGCCACATCAGATATGGCTGTGAATATGTTATTTCCTTCTATGAGCACAAGTAGCAGATGATAGCAGTAAGTGCCACACACAGTCATTTTTGCTGTCCATTGAATCTGTTGAATTGAATTGCCTTTGGGCTACTTGTTTCTCCAGTATAGCTCCCTAGATGTTTGCATAGTTATAATTTAACCCCATCAGTGACAAACAGATTTCTGGCTGGGTACTGAAGTCATGAACAGAATGGAATTCATTCAGCTGTCATACATTATACGGCCTAAATAAGTTCCTTTTCCCATTAAAATTGTTTATACCTTCTTTAAACTATTCTGTTCTTAGTCATTCAAGTGAATTCTTTCTGTCACTAATTCTTATTTCTCTTCTTTTGTGACCCATAACAAGGTCAGTTTTATCAAAGGAACTGTTTATATGGGACAATAAGGAATCCCACAGCATTTTTAGAAAAACTGGCAGACCATCATGTTTCAATATATCAAATATCCTTCTTCATTTCACTGCATCAAATGATTCCAACTACCACCTAATCCACAATTGCAACCATCATCGCTATAATTTGTTGCAGGCCTGATTGCAAATAGGAATATATAAATACACGCAAACCATATTATAGGTTTATTTATGGTTACATGTGAGCATTCATTCAAAGCGATCTATCTTTTCCAGCTAAACTTTAGAATTATGCTAGCAAGAGAAAAAATAGAGTTAGAGAAAAAGGATTAAATGTTTAAAGGAAAACTATGAGGTGAGTGAAAATCACTCAGCTTTATAGTTCTAGCCGACCTGTGACAATGAAACTGTCACAGGTCGGCTCAATAGATCGGGAAGTGAGCGAATACATACCGTCGCTCGCTCACTTCTCGATCTATCCCTGCAGAGAGCCGTGACTGTCACTCACGGCTCCCGGCAGTGATTCCCCCCCCCCCTTCCCTGTCCGATCCGCCAGCGCTGACTGTCGCAACGGACGGGGGAGGGGGCGGGTAGAGCTGGCTCTGCCTCTAGATAGGCAGAGCCAGCTGTCGATCACGCAGCTAGGTGGATCCAGACAGTATTTTTGGGATCTGTCCCGGCTGCGGCGTCTCACTATATCGCGAGCTGTAGGTCGCGGTATACTGAGCTTTGGGTGATGGGAGGACGCTAGTTTGTGTCCTCCCGTTACCCTTAGGAGAACTATGGGGAAAAGCACTGACCCCATATTTCTCATTTAAATTGGCCATATACCCTAAGATTTCTCTTAGGGTATATGGCGAGAAATAAAATCACTAAATTTCCCCATCCACGCTAAAAAACGTCCTACTGACGTGCCACTGTACGCCAACACTCACTCTGCTATTTGTACTGTCCTGTGAAAAGCACTTTTTCCTCTAGTTCCCAGAAACTCTGTGCTTATCAATCTAAGACATGAGACTTTCTTTCCAGTAGAAGCCCTTATGATATCTTATGACACATAGGCCAGAACATAGTCAGCATACTATAGGAGAACTAGGAAAGAAAGTGCTCAGCACAGGGCAGTCAGTTGACCGTATTGTGAAAACAAAGGCGCAGAGGTAAGTCCAATTACTCAGCTGTTTTCCGAGTACACTATCCTACCTAATTTTTGCTGAATTTGTTCTATGAATTTTGTAAAATAAAAAAAAAACCAGAATCAAGTCATTATGATGCTAAAATGAAAAGGTAACTGCAAACAAGATAATTAATGTCATACCCAAATGCAGATATGGAAAACAAACAATTTCCTCTTAAATTGACACTAAACTCAGGAGTTAAGTTTTTAAAATGCATTTAAGAGCCTTAACTATTAACAAAAATGCATCTTATTTGTGTATCACTCAGCTGTAGATCCTCAAATCATCTCTGAATTTGTGTTGACACTGTCCTTCCTTCTGGAGGGTGGCTACTTTTGTTCCCCATGGTCCCTGTGTGTGATGGAAATTATCCACCGCTCCAAGCTCACTCCCATGATGGACTACAATCTCACGTTTAGTTTACTAATTTGTATTGAGTATTGTAGTCTATAACGGAAGCAAGCCTGGAGCGGTGGCTAATTTACAACACACACCTTAACATCGTGTTAATAGTTAAGGTACTTGAATGCATTTTTATGGTTTAACGCCTGAGTTTAGTGCCACTTTAAAACTGGGAAAAAATCTCTACAGCGCCATGTTGACTACTTTCGGTAGAAAAACAGAAAGTCTATCACAGATGGTTTTACCTGTGATTGAGCAGTATATAATATGAGGGGCTGTTTTCTTCACATCTTCGTAACCCAACCCCATTTCAGCTAGTTTTCCTGGAATGTAATTTTCAATGAGAACATCACAGGCTTGTGTAATGTCTCCACTCGTCATTATTCCAAATGTTTTCATTATTTTTATTCAACAAGAGTTTCATCATCACAAAAGTAAAAAGTACAAATACAAACAAGATTATTACATTTCAGTTATCAAAGTCATATTTCACAATTCCATAAGAGACATTGGAGTTTTGCATCCCCCAGATTAATGTCTGTGACCACCAATTTTTTGTCCCACCAATTTTCAAAAATCCTGAAGATGGGGCAACTCTTGAATATGTGTAGTAATATGCCAACATGAGAGGCACATCTCCAACACTTGGGGAATAGGTAGGGTTAGATTCAATGTAGGCGGACTGGTGTTTTATATTTTAGAAGGCTATCATGTGCTTTAAAAAAAAAGTGATTACATGGCTATACAGATTATTTCAGCTGCTTCCTATTTAACACTTTCACTGCCCAGGGATACATCTCTGCTATAAGCCCATGGTTGAAGCTACTGTATACATTCAAAAAGTGACACCACACCTTACCCCCACCGCAACTGCTCTGCCCAACATAAATCCTCCCAGCTGGGCAAACAGCCTCATCCCCTGCACAGCCTGCTGTCTCCTCCTATCACGCAAGTTGCTACAACACAATAAAATGTGTCCAACACACTATGCTAACACACCTGTGTTGCAGAGTACCACAATGTAAGGTAACTTATTACATAAAAACTGCCACATTTCTTTGTGCTAATTCAAATGAATAGGTTGCCCTAGCTCGTTAATGCATTTAAAATGGCTCATAAACACGTGTGCGTTACTGCAGCGCATACTGTGTATGTGAACCTAGACTTAAACACACACACACAAAGTACACATGTGCACTACACACATTGTGGTGATGCACATTTTGTGTGTAGGTGCACTGCACTGTGTTGCAATAAATGTATGCCTAGATCATTTTATCAGAACGCACACCAATGCAGCATACACTGTGGCACTGTGGATCGCGTGTGACAACACATGTGTGTAGGGATAAATGATGATCTTTGCTGAATTACACTTCTAGACTCCATTTTGTCTATGTAATATTATGCTTAATGAAACATATTATAAAATGTATCTTCTAAGTAAATATGGTATAAGACAAAGTACACTACCAGAAGTAAATGATATGGCAGGTTAAACATATTCCACTATACAATCATATTCTATATGTATATTATATTAAAGAGAAACATACATACTATTAAATACAGTTATAGACGTTCTATACACATTATATATATATATATATACACAGGCCTCAAAATTTCCACTCGCCCCCTCGCAATTGGCGAGTGAAAATTGCGGGGGGGCGAGTGGAATGTCAGCAATGGTGCCTCACCGGCGGGACTAGGGATGGGACACTACCGCGGC